ACGAAGTCACTACCCAACTAAAACTCCTGTATGATCTTCACTGCACTTTTTCCTGGGGAGTAGGGGCGGTCGCAGGAGTATAACTCCCATTTCAGCCTCAACCTCAACCCTTCTCTCAAAGCCGGATTCATGAGATCCGAATTCGCAAAGGTGAGAGCGGATTCCCCTCTGGCATATCCCGGATTCCCATCCGCTCCACCCAATTGGGATACTCCCCTCAACCATGTGGGAGACATTCCCGAGGTATCACTTTCGGTCCTGCCTCCCACAATTACACTATATATAATTTAATACAGTATTTATCTTAGAGTGAAACCTTTCCGATTATCTCTTTCGGTCCGGCTTCACTCTCTTAAATGTTTACAACAACCCTATTATTAGTACGATGATAGAAATATTTAAATACATAATAAAAAATTAAATAAATAAATAAAAAATAAATCCATACGAGTTTTAAATAAGATAATTAAGAATTCGAACAGTTAAATTGTATATTGGTAAAAAAATTAGATAAATCAATAATTAAATCCGTTTTATCCGCTATCGGATTATTAATTAAACTTAATTTTATTAATTTATCATATTTTTTTAAAGTCTCAATATTTATATTTTCTATTAAATTATCATCGACGATTAAAATTTCTAATTTTGGTAACACTGACAGCGAATTCAAATTATCAATAGAATTTTTTTTCAAATTTAATATTTTACAATTTAATAAATTATATAAATATTTTAATGAATCCGATTTCAACGAATTATAACTCAAATCGATTTCTACGAAACCGTGTAAATATTGACTGTGATATAAACAAGTTAAATTTTGCCTCGATAAATTTAATTTTTCACGTTCGTTATTTTTCAACAATTCTAATTCTATTATTATTTTACTCCTTAAATCTAAATAATAATTTTTTCTCAATGAATCAATAAGGGTTAATTTATCAATTGTATTTTTAATTTCATTTTCATATTTTAATCTATCTATTGTGAGCATTAGAAAAATACTCGTCAATAAAGTCCATTTGCTATCTGGTTCTAATTCTATTAATTGATTGCATGAATCCAGTTGTTTTGTTATTGTTTCCAATAAATTTTCCGATAAAACAGAATGAAAATTTAATTTTGATAAATAAAATCCCTGAGGTTGAACATTGATTGTTTCGTAAACTGAATTATTATCTGATAATGATATTGAAATGCAGTCTGCAGGTTGGATCTGAAAGAAATTGCAAAATGTAAATGATTAAAATTTATTTTTTCTTCATTGACGAAAAATGTAAAAAATTCTTACCTGTTGGTGAGGTTTAAATATCCAAAGGCACGATTGTGGTTGCAAATTTCCATTGATCCAAACACCATCCAACTTGACATCATTTATTTTGATGTTTATTTTAATCTCATAATTTTTATTTTCATTCGAATCCATTGTCAAACTTTTCGATGTGATTATGTATATTTCATCGCTACATTTGGCATATATTATGGATGTTTTAGGTTCTTTCAAACCCAATAACCACCTTAAATAAAACCAGGCACTTTGATCGTTGGGATCGGTGAATGCAGCATTTTCAACCAATTCTAATTCTTCATTGTGTTTCTCTTCGTTAATAGGAAATTTTTTTTTCTCATCCGGAAATATTTTAGGTAATAATTTACTTCTCAAATGCCATGCGGAATAATTAGAAAAATTTGTTTCTATTTTTTTCATTGTGAATTCATATTCGGATAAATGAGAAACGTTTGATCTTTCAGCGACTATCCTACGATAATCCCAACAGTGAAAATTTCTTTCGTCTAATTGAAGATATTTTGTGCAAAGGTTTAATTCTTTGTTCCAATCGGGTTTGGGTAAATTGTCCAATATCCATATTCTATGATGCCAACTACCATAGGATTTTGGATTTACTCTCAGGCACTGTTCTGTCAATTGTAAATCTTTTTCCAATAGTTTTTGATAACTTTCCAAATCCTCGTCGTTTTTAAACGACAAAAATATTTCTCTTCTATAATTCCATAATGTTATTATATCCGGATTTCCTGTTAATAAATTACCGGTGAGATTTAAACCTTCTTCGTCGTGTATTTGTAAAGAACGTTTTTCTAATATTTGATTCATTATTTTTTTAAATTCTATTGCCTTTTTCTGTTTTTCTTGCCTTGCGATTTCTTTTTGTTCTTCTGTCGTTCTCACTTTGACTCTTCCGTGCATTTTGTAATTTCTATTAAAACAAATTTTACGATTTTTATTTCAAAATTAATACAGGAAAAATAACTCACAATGGGAAATGGTAAAAATAATAGTAATATGTAAACAACCATAGACGTAAATTTAAACTTAATTATATCGATGATAAAAAAAAAGTGTCATTAGAAAAATGTATTTCACTTTTACGTGGAACTCATATAAAAATATGGAAGCTTTTAACGTAGCCAATACATGAATATTTTCGTTAAATAATTTGTTTTATGTAAATTATATTATATAAAATGGCCTCGAAAGGCGGTCCTATGGTTGCCGGAACGGACGGTACTGATTTTGCAAATAGGCAAACCATAGCAGCTCAGTACCAAATCAGGTATGCAATCAAAAAAAAAAAGTTTAAAAAAATTTTTTTTTACACGTTATTATATAATACGGTTCAAAATTAGCTCTTTTAAATTTTACCAGGGACAATTTGTAAAAAAAAAAAAAATTAAAATTTTGTTAATTGCTTGCCAAGAAAAAATTCATCAAAATCTCTTTTTTTTAAAATTAAATTTTACTTTTTTTTGTTATAAAGTTTAAAAAATTAAATCATTATTTCTTTTCTTTTCTTTTCAGTGCACTAAACAAATCAAGATTAAAATATTGTATTTTTTTCCATTACTTACTTTTTTTTGCCATGTTTGCAAAACTATTACCAGACATCCTTGATAGATTAGATATATTCATTTTGGAAATAGAAGAACTTCAAGTGCCAAAACCCCAACTCTGGGAACATTTATGGTGTCTTTCAATAATTGTCACTTTTTTCGGCCTGTCAGCGATTAAAAAAAATAAAATAAATGTTATTAATCAATATATATATGGAATTATAATATTCGGTTTTGGTACCACATTATTTGGCGCCATGTATTATTTCCATGATGTTTGGACTTATCTTAGATCAGGAGTAAATGATGATATTATATTGTGGCAAGGTTTACCCTATGGTTTATTGTGGTATGTTTTCATATTGGCAGCATTTCAAGTACATTTTTTTTCCATATATTTTGCATGGAATTTAAGAAATGCTTGGAAAACAAGAGGATCCCATAAGAAATCCGGGTAATAATAATTAACAATATTGTGATACTTGTTAGGATACTTATAAATAATTATGTATGAAAAACATGACATATAAACTTAATATATAAATATACACATATTATTTTTATGTAAAAAGAAAAAAAAACGATAAGAGTTTTACCACCACCACCTTAATTATTATGAAAAATGTAAAAATTTATTTTTATATTCATTCACATTATTATTTAAAAATTTTATGGGAAAAAAAAAAAAGAAAAAAAAATGTGTCAGTGTAAATTTTTTTTGTCGAGATAAACCTGATTACTATTACAGTAAATACGACATTTAAAAAAAAAAACATCGAAATAATTTTTATCATTATTTTTTTAAGTTAAAAATTTTTGGTTTAAATAAATGTTTCTGTTAATGAAAAAGAAAAAAAAAAAAGAAAAAATTTTATCACTGGCTAAAATCCAAATTAATCGTTAAAAATTTCCTTCAGCGAAATAAAGATTAAACATTAATAAAAGATTAATTCAAACACGATTTCATTTTGTTTGTTTGTTTGTTAATTTTTATTTTATTCTCAGGTGATAAATAAATAAATAAAATTATTATTATTATTATTATAGTTTCAAGCAAATGAAATTTTTTGTTATTTTTTATGTTATAAAATCGAATTGCAATAAAAAAAAAAAAAAATTATATATTTAATATAATAATCGAACCAAAAAATTATTACCATAAATAATTATAGCAAAAATGTATGTATTATCTTTTTAAATAAATATTCAAAACAAAATATTTTTTGTCGTCTGCTTTATTATTATTATTATTCACCTTTTAACAAATAAATAATTTTTTTTGTCATGAATTGAGCTTACATTTTACAAAAAAAACATTTCAAATTTTTTTCTTTTTTTTGATTACTTACTTACTTACTTAATTTAGAAAAAAAAAAAAAAAAAGTAATATAAATCTATATATACAAATTATTTTTAATAATATAAAATATTCACAATTAAAATTATAAATAAATTAATTATTATTATCCTCGTCAAAGAAATATCAATAATTATTAATAATAAATTATATTAATATAATTAAAATTTGCAACAAATATATATATATATATATACATATACATGTATAAATAATGATATTAATTTATATTAAAATTTATCAATCAATCAATCAATCATTATAATATAATAATAATAATAATAATAATAATAATAATTTATAAAATGCTTCTCGGAAGCAAATAATCTCTTTCTTTTTTTTTTTTTTTAATTAGTAACTCATTATAAATTTAAAATTTATAATATTTATTTATTCATATTTCGAATTTTATATTAAATAAAAACTTTTTTTTTTTTTTTCAACAAAAAAAATCTACTTTTAACTAGAGTTTTTAGTCTTTATGCAAAATGTAAGCTTTTCGACAAAAAAAAAAAAAACGAAATTTAAAATTTTTTTCTATTTTATTTTATTTTATTGATTTAATCTAACGTGACGCATTTTAAATAAAGCTTTTTATCTTTTTTTTTTATTTTTTATTTTTATTGTGCATTTTAATAATCGAATAATTACGTATTTAATTAAAATAAATAAAAATAAATAAATTTGATCCCTCTATTTTTACTTACATAGCGTAGGCCATTCAAATAATAATAAACGATTTTTCACTAATTTGTTTTTTTTCCATTATTTTTTTTTTTTTTTTATAAATAACAATTTTAATTAAAACAACTTAATCGTTTAATAAAAAAAAAAAACTTTTTTTTAAATTTTATTTCAACGATCGACGACGTTGTTACACAATCAATTACTCTACTACTTTACATTTCCGTTACAAAAAAAATTAACAACGTTCGAAACATTCAAATTTTTCAACCAATGAAAAAAATTCATTTTTATATGACGTCATAATTTTTTCGGCCTATCAAAATCAAGCTTTTTGTAATCGCGAATTAAAAGTTCGTTAACATTAATCAATATTATTATAATAATGACAATTTTTATTTATTAAATTGAATCGTTTTATTTATATTTTTGTTTTACGACCGTGTATAATAAGCAAGCAAAATAGCATAACATTATAAATTATTAAATATGTGTGCGCACAAATGTTTTAACATTATTATTATTATTATTATTAAATTCTTTATATTTCTAGTATATCAAATTTAATATTTAAATTGAAATAACAGAGAAAGACTAAAAACTCCAAAATATAAACACTAATTATAATACAATTATTAAATGGTAACTTTTTAATATTTTTAATTTATTAATTAATTAATAACATTTTTTTTTTTTTTTACACTCATCGTTTCATTACTCTCATCTGATTATAGAAAACGAAACAAATTTTTTCTTACATAAAAAATTAATTATCGTTACAACACAATTACAAAAACATCAAAATCACGTGATCAATTTATTATCACATGTTGGTAATTAAAAACGGATTTAAAATGGCGGAGGGTAGGCAAAAGACGTTGCAAGAATTGTTATCGGCGTGAAAATTTTGTTTTTTTTTTTTTTTCGTTTGTTTGTTTGTTTTAATTTTTTTCCTTCCACAAATATATATAAAATTAATAATTAAAAATATAAAATAATAATAATAATAATAATAATAAAATAAATAATAAATACACAGTGAATTCGAATGCAATGTGAAAGGTAGCGGGTACAGGCCAAATGCCACAACAAAAAAAAAAAAAAAACGATAAAGATAATAATAATAATAATTCCAAAAAAAAAAAAAAATGAAAAATCATACATATATATGTACATATATAAATCTCGAACATTCGATATTTTTTTTCTTTTTATATATATTTACAAAAAAAAAAAAAAAAATCCTCGCGACGATTTTTCAAATTTTTTTTTTTTTTTTTTTTTTATTCCCCACCCAAAATGGTCGACATTCTCTTGGCAAAAAAATTTTTTTTTTTGTTTTTTTTGGTTGCTTTGAAGCCGTGTTTTACATTTTGCTTTTTAAGCTTTCAAGCGAAAATAATAAACAAATAATAAATAAATAAATAAATAATTTTCTTTTTCTTCTTTTTTTCCATTAAAAACAAAAAAAACGCGAACACAACTTCAGTTTTCTTTTTTTTTTTTTTTTTTTTTTTTTTATTAAATGGCAACGTATTTGTAAAGCTCGGAGGCTTTTAGGTATCATCGAAAAGGTCAAAGGTCGAACGGGGGGTGGTGATGGTGGTGGTGGCGGCGGCAAAATGGGGCGAAAAAGGCGTGGGCGGCCGTGGAAAAGAAAAGGTCGGATAATATAATAATCGATAATAATTTTTTTTTTTTTTTTTTATGTTCGTTCGTTTGTTTGTTTGTTTGTTTGTTTGTTGGTTCTAAGAAAAAAAAAAAAAAATCGATTAATGTCTGTGAATTATTTTTGATATCTACTTTCTATCTAATTTTTATGTATATATATATATATATATAAATATCTACCATTCCGCTAATTACATTGATAATAATAATAAATTATTATTATTATCATCATCACCATAATCATCATCATCAATATATATTTATTATTATTAATATTATTAATTAATGCTTTTGCTTGTTTTTCTATTTAAAAAAAAAAAAAAAAAATGGAAGTATGAAATAAAAAATGCATTTTTTTTTTTTTTTTTTTCAATTTATAACTAATTTTATTTGATATCTTTCTTCCCGCGAAAACAAAAAAAAAACAAAAAAAGAAGAAAAAGAAAGATATCAAGAAACAAAAAAGAAAATAAACAAACACAAAAACAAACAATCAAAAGGCTACACTCATTATAATTACAATAAAACAATTATTAACAACCGCAAAATCAAACAAACAAACAATCAATCAACCGTTAGAAGAAGAGAAAAAGAAAAACATATCATGCAGACATCAATGTGAATGCGTTTGTTTCCCTGTTTGTTTGCCTGTTTGTTACTTATCAAAGTGTGATGAAACTATCCTGATATAATTTTAAACGGTTTCATTTGACCGCAGCAAAAAAAAAAACAAAAAACAAACAAAATGTCGGCGGATGGATTGTTCGAAAAAAAAGAAAAAACCCAATCGATAATAATGATAATAATAAAGGGAAACCGCCATCTTTTTTTTTCCTTTGCTACGGTTAATAATTAACTACTTTCAAAAAATTCAATTCGAGAGACATTCGATAAAAAAGTATTTTTCCTTTGACAAAAAAAAAAAAAAAAAATTTTAATCCGAAATAAATGGTTTATAATCACGTGATACTAATCACGTGATGAAAAAAAATAAAAATGGCGACCGTCAAACGTAATTACAATATTTCAATATGAGAAATTTTATAGGTTAAAATTTTTTGTTTTTTTTTTGTTTTTTTTTTTTTTTTTTTGTTACGTTCGTGATAATGAAAATACAAAATGGCGGAAATAATAAAAAAAAAATTTGAATTTTTAAAAATTTAAACAAAACTAAATGACAAATATAGAAAACAAAGAAGAAGAATGAAAAGAATACAAAAAACATGCAAACTAAATAAATAATAAATTTTGTTTGTTTGTTTTTTATTCGTTTTTGTTAATTTTATTATTATTATTATTATTATTATTATTATTATTATTATTATTACCATCACGTTATTATTTACTGTATGTAAATCTCATATAATTAAAACTAATGAAAATAATTTTTTTTTTATTCCGTTAAAAAAACCAAACGCCGCCATTTGTAATTTTAATAAAAGTTTCCTTTGATAAAACAAACGACAACGTCCTATCCTACGCCTCCCCATTTTTTCTTAACCTTAAAAGTTTTAACAAAGAAATTTTTTTTTGCGACTTTTTACAGAAACTTTTTTGTAGCAAAACCGATAAAAATTTCAAAAAAAAAAAAAAAAAAAAAAAGAAAATTCTTTTAAAATTTTTAACGCTTTCTTTTTAACGAAAAAATAATTTATACGAATTACTATTATTATTATTATCATAATCGTCGTCGTCGTAGTCGTCGTTAAATGACGATTTATTATAAAATATTTAAATTTATATGTTTAAAAACAACGTCACAACAGGTTCTTCACTCATTTACATGATAAAAAGTGTATTATTAATAATAATAATAATAATAAATTTACCTTTTAACGTTCGTGCAATATTTAACGTTTATATAATTAAAAGCATTTAAAAGCAATGGAATTAAATAACTAAAAGCTATAAAAGACATTGGCGTGTATGCGATGTTGTTAAACGGTAGCAAAACGAGGCCGTCAAATGCATAAAAAAAAATTTTAAATGTGTAATAAATGATTTTAGCGATCGTGTCAATTATCAAAGATGACGTTATATAATTAATGATTTTATGATGGAAGGACGTCGAAGGAGGAGGAGGAGGAGGAGTTTGAAATACCGGCGGATATGATAAATCCCGAGGATGTGATGATGATAAGTATAAGGAAGAAGTCAATTGTGATGGTAGGGATAAATGGATCGAAGGAGATGAATTACACATATCCTCCTCGCAGAAACACATGTGGCCTGTATTACTACTTTCCATCATGCAAACGTGATCCACCATGAATAGATTTATTTGAAGTTGAGTCGTGCACGTCCTTCGAACGCTTTCGTAAGCTAAACATTAAAAAACAAAAAAAATCCGTTACGACTTTTTTTTTTAAAAAAAATTTTTAAATGAATAATTTAACCATTTTAATAACAAGAACGTAATAATCTTCTTACAAAAAAAAAACCCACAACAAATTCGTTTTCAAAAAAAGAACGATTGTAAGTAATGAAGAGAGTACGTTCATGAATTTTCGTGACGTCACGTAACAAATACCGACCAATTAAAAAACAAAAGAATATTTTTGTATTGTAAATATAATTATTTTGATAATAAATCAATAAGTTTTGTTTTCCTCTTCCCCCTTCCCCCTTCCCTTCCCCTCCCCGATCCTTATTCTTTCAAATATAAATAAATAAATAAATAAATATTAAGATGTATATATTTACGAGATTTTGCGTTTCGGACCATTTTAACGCAACATCCGTTACAAGTCATGAGTGGAGGTTGATCTCTTGGGAGTGCTGTGTAATTAAATGGATCTTTACATCTTGGATCCGTCCAACTGTCACATTCGTAACAAAATATCGATCGAGCTAATAAAAAATAATAATAATAATAATTACTTTTTATATAACTATTTAAATTAGTAAAAAAACTTTATGTTAATCACATTTAAAAAAAAAAAAAAAAAAAAAACTCACAGCCTTCTGTGAATTAAAATTTAACAAGCGATATAAACAAAACATCGGGTAATGGTTTCAAATAAAAGGTTAAAGGTTAAATTTATTAAGGTTAATCGTTAAAATTAAAAGGTAAATGGAAAAACTAAAAGGAAAAAAGGAAGAAAGGAAAAAAAAAAAATAGGAGACGATAAATAAAATTTTTTTTTTTCTTTTGTTACTACTCTGACATCTCTCGCTCAAATGACGATGGCAAGTAAAATAACTGGAAAGAGTTTTTTTTTTTTTTTTTTGTTTTTTTTTTATCCCAAAAAATTGTGAGCAAAAATAATTACAAAATTTTCATTAAAAATTTTCTTTTTAAATAGGTAAGCGAAAATAAATAAATAAAAATCAAATCAAAAAAAAAAAAAAAAAAAAAATCAATAAATAGACAATCATTTATTTACAATTAAACGTGTAAGTCGGTTATAAAAAAAAAAAAATCTACTCCCACGCACATTTCATTTAATCGTTATTTTTAAATTAAATTCCTTCCACGTCTATTTTAACTTTCATGAATTAATTTATATTTACTATAAAGCCTTTATAGAGAAAAAAAAAAAACTTTTTTTTGTTTGTTTGTTTGTTTCTTTTTATTGATGGTGACGATTAATGTCGTGTGCGTGGTTTATTTAAAAACAAAAACAAAAACAATTTCTTTTAAGTAAAACAAAACAAAAAAAAAGGTTTAGAAATTTAATTTAAATTAAAATAATTAAAAAAATATTTGAGAGGAAAACGTTTTAATCACACAAAAACTCACATTCGTTCACATTTCATTCGTATCGTGCCACGTTTTTTAATTATTATTAAATCGATTTAATTTTGTTGCTTCCACGTATGAATTTTTTTTATTTAATTTTGTTGCTTCCACGTTCGAATTTAGATAAATAAATAAATAAATAAAATTTAAATTATTTGCATGACATTTTTTTTTCGTTTCAATAATCGTCGTTATTTTAAATAATAAAAATATTTCGAAAAAAAAACGGATACAAAATAAATGAAACGAATCGATTATCGATTAACAATTAATTGATTGATCGAATCGATATCGATAAAATAATTATTATTATTATTTAAAAATAAAATAAAAAGAAAAGTTAAAAACAAAATTTTTTTATTTGTTTATTTATTTTTCGAAAAAAAAAAAAAAAAAATCAAAAACTTCTCGTGTAAATAGAAAAAAGGAAAGTTTTTTCCTCCCTCCACTTCCCACCCCCCCTTCCTGACACGATCAATTTTTTTTGCTGTTGTTTTCCCCTCCCCTCCCCTCTCTCCC